GCAGGTCATCCTGAAACAATCAGAATACTTTATTAATCCCTAAGGAAAGTATGTGGGTTACAGTTGCTCCAAGAAGAATTGGTAAAAATAGTAACAGTAACAGACTACTCCAAACTCCAAACAATACGTTATGATACAGATTTTAATATTATTTAGTCATTGTCAATTGCTGATTTGTCCTGTTCTCATTGTATGACGAATTATGATGGCTGTTTGGTAGCCGTTTGCATGCATACTCTCTCTCTCTTCATAATGTGTGTGTGTATGGGAGGGGAGGGGGGGGCAGAGGGAGTGTTCGCCCAGGGTGCCAAACAGGCCAGGACCGCCACTGGATGTATGGTGGTACTGAAAAAAAAGGCGACAGTTAATAGACAGCTAAACCAGTTAATAGTTATAGTTATGTAATAGTTAGTACTCTGGAATCTTGGTTTCTTTTTTAAAGACTACATTTACATGTAAACATAACCTGATAAACCACCATAAAAAATCAAATATTTCCGTGCTACTTAAATATGTATATTAGTTTGTTTGTCAAAGAAATGAAAAGAAATGGGTTATTTTCAGGAGATAAAACATGGTGGAGGGAAGGCAGGCACAATTTAAAATCACATATTTTCTTACACTTACATTTTATACAGACATATTTTATACTTTACACTAAAGCTTTTTTATTTTTTCGTTGTTGTTGTTGTTGTTGTTGTTGTTATTACTATTATTAGTAAAGTGCAGATAGGATTGCTTACAGAGATCGCGGTCTTACCTCATCCAACTCTTTTGAACCCAACTCCATTTCCCATAACTCCCTTCACTCAGGAAAATATTACGTCACTAAAACATGGCGGATTAGCGTGTGCTTTGGGTCCGCTACTTACCACTCCTCGTCGGTAAATGAAGGCTTATTTCTTCCACAAAACGACATATTCTTAGCCAGGTACGTTAATACAAGTAAAGTAAAAGATGTGGACGCGATAAAAATATCAGTGAAGCGGTCTTAGCTTCAAAACTTCATGAAAAGGGCGACCCAACGCATGCAGAGCGTCACGCTTAAAACTGTTTTTACCCGAGTTTGAGTCCAGCTTGTGCACTTTCCCAATCTTTCTCCACCATTAAGATTGCATTTTGCGTAATTTTCACTGGTTTAAGTTGTGTTTGTTGGCTCATTCCACGTCTGGCGGTGTTTCCGAGTGATTTTAAAGCGTTTGTCATCAAACTTAACGGCCTCTCGACTGTCGACGTCACCAGCCCTGTCAACAAAGTAGCTGAGTTTTGCATTTTTCAGTAAAAGAAGAGATAATTTAAATACTTTTTGTGCAGGTGAAGTTTATTGTTTTGTAGGCGGAATATGCCTAAGCCGCAGTAGAGTAAGCTGCTTTTTGTCAACACTGAGACAAAGCAAATGCATATTAGTGTCAAACTCCATCCATGGAGAGATGTTTATGTGTTCATTTCTATTTAGCAAATAATTTATTGAAAAGCTTTATGTAAAGA